TGACAGCAAACTCTCAACCCAAAGTGCAAGGGTGATCACCATCAACGAAGCACACGGTAGCCCCTGTGAGGTAAACAACGCGTATGCAACAGGTGATACTTCTTCAAACGAGTCATCCGAGGAGGAGGTAGTACAGGAGGTACCATTACCGCGAAGGAGCAGTAGACGAAAGAGACCCGCTCCGGGTTGTCACCTATGTGATCACCAGATCACGGGGAAGTGTAGCGAAACTGAAAGGCAGCAGTCTGTGGGTTCTGCTGAACTGACTACAGTTCGCCGGTCTTAGAGGCAACGAGTGGCATGCGTGATATGTAAGCAGAATAGTGGACGCTTATGCAAATGTAGCAACGGTCCCTGGCTAAATGAAATGCTGGACAAACAAGGAGAAAAAAAAATGGCCTACCTTAGAATCCAAAATGAGCGTGAACGCGTTTCGCCTGCAGAGTGCCGGAAGTTAACAATAAAAGTATGAGCGTCCAGGGGGGGGGGGTGTTATTTATGAGTCACGGACGTGTAACGTATGCAAATTTCAGCCAGTTAGGACTGATATAAAACAAGCAATCTCACAGGTGGAGGGTCTTTTTCTTTTGTTCTTGAGTTGGTCGTACGGTTCTGGTGTACGTATCGTCGGAGACTAAGAAAGACTATAGGAATCTACCTTCCTCCTTATACTTGGTTTTAAATTTGACACTGCCGTCTCAACTCTTTTCCTTCACAACCATAACCCCAAAATAGTTTGCCTACAAGAAACCTTCTTAAAAGAAACAACATCCATTAAATTCAAACAATACCATATTTATTAATACTACATTGGGCCTTTTTTCACTGCAAATAAAACTGGTAGTGAAAAATTACATCAATTGGCTATGCAAATGAATTAGTTTATTTAATATAAATAACAAACTCATGCCAGATAGAAACACTTGAAACCATTTACTTGAGTAAGAATAAACAAGCTGTGGTTTAAGGACGTTATCCTCAAATTATGTTTACAAAGTATATATATTTAATATATATTTGCAAAGTGGATTTGGCATTAAATAACCCATAGTGGTTGATATGCCATAAAACCCCAAACAACTAACACTGATAAGAACCAAGATGGACTATGGCTGTTGTATATATGGAGCATCCAGAGAATCATATCTGAGGGAACTAAATACTATACATCATCAAGGACACAAACTAGCCCACAGAGAAAATAACACTTCACCTGTAGAAAGACTATACACAGAAGCAAATGAACCTTCTGTAAAATTGAGACACAAAAAATATAAAACTGTAATCATATCCATTTAAACCGAGCCTGCAATTAACACTTTTTACCTACAATATACTAAACTTTAAAAAAATAAAATCTATCAAATCATTCAATTTCTGAATGAAAGAACTCGTCTTAAAGTACCAGATAGATATAACCCATATCCATAAATCCACAATATCAGCTCCTTCATGGATGACTGAAACACCCAAAATAATATTAGATCTCACAAAACATCCCAAAATCAAAACCAACTCAGTTATCTATCATTCTGAAATACTCAACATAAAATGAATCATTCAGATCATCTATTCATCTACACAGAAAAATGAGGGGAGGTTGGGTGTGCTGCCATTCTTGGGAAAAAAAAATTGAGGAAAAGCTTGTGGATGTAGCAGTTATTTCAGCACTGTATATTGAAGCTATCAATTTAGCACTTTATATAGTAAGAACAAACGAACATGACAGATTTTTAATTTTCAGACTCCTTATCCATACTTATAGCACAAAAAAACTCAAAAACTTCCTGTAATCCTCTAATCACCCAAATACTAGAGAGAGTGAATCCAACACATCTCCAAAGAGAAAAATGTAACTATGCCTAATACTAAGTCACACTGGCATCCATGGTAATGACAAAGCAGACTCTGAAGCAAAAAAAAAGCAATTCATGAGCAACCATCAAGGAATTGATTACAAACAAATGACAAAAACAAATGGATATTTATACAAACAAATTATAGAATGTTAAAACTACCATTGGAAAATGGCAGACTGAAAACATCAAAAGCAGAAGACAACAGGTAGTACTAACCTGCTTCCACATAGGCCACACCCAAATATCTACTGGATGGTGAAGAACCCCCAACATGTATGGAATGTCAAGAAATACTATTAGTAAAAAACATATTGCTGGATTGTCAGGACTTTTACCAAACTCAACAAAGATATTGCCAAGTAAACAATTTGAGAGAAATCTTCAACAAAATCCACTCTTCCAAAATAACAAACTTTCTAAAGAAAAGACTTTACTCAAAAATATGCATTATATATATATATATATATATATATATATATATATAATTATTTATATATTATATATGCTTGTGGTACTTATTAGAAAGCGCTCAATATCAGAGATAGAGCTAACATATTTGGTTGGATAGATGCGAGTTTGTGACCCTGGGTTTCATGCTTTTGCAATTTGTCTGACAATTGCAAAAGTGTGAAACCCAGGGTCACAAACTCACATCAATCCAACCAAAATATATATATATATATATATATATATATATATATATACCGCCTCAAAAAAAGGAAAGCCTTTTCAGCTGAATATTATTTTCAATCACAATTGGTTTCAGCATCAAATGACCTAAAAAGGGTTGAGTTGCTGTACCAAACCCAGAATAGACCCACATGCGAATAATGAACCCAACCATTTGGTAAAGGACTGCTTGCAGAAAAATCAAACGGCTAATGCATACTGCAACAAAATCAGCCACATGACTTGGGATTGTCTAGAAAATGAATGAGGTAGGGAACAAAACGTTAAGACTAGTTTCTTGCCTAGGCAAGGTGTGAAATTCAAGGAGAGAATGCATCTCCGTGCAGTGCTTCATGTCAACAGGAGCTGATTTCAGTGCCAAATTTATCAAGTGGTGGAGAATATGAGTTGCAGCTTGAAGTGGTCAGAAACAATTTCGTAGTACCTGGTGTTGAATCAGCTGAGAGCAGAGTACTAGTGCAAGCTGCAGATATGACTGGACACTAGTTGGCTGTTGCCTTATCACAACAAGGAACTTGGCCCACCCAAAAAGCTGATACCTGCTGATGGCTGTAATGCAAGCAAGCACAAGATACATCCTGTAATGGATTACTGGGAGATGAACATCCACATTGACACATTCATGGTCACTGTGGGTGTTTGCACATATACCTGTAGGATTGCATTGAAAAATCTGTGATGCCATACCAGACAGTCATGTTCAAGAGACTAAGATATTGTCTAACCAGGATGGCATTTGGCTTGAATGTAGTAAAGGCCCAGAGAGGTTGCAAAATGGTAGCAGAGTGCTGAAGCTAGAAGTCTGGAGGGAGCAAGGTAAACTGAGGTGGCAGCAAGGGAGTAATATAATGAATAGTCCTCCAACCATAACATGAAGAAATGTCTTTTCAATGTGGGACATTTCCCCATACATTGCTGGCTTTGTGTGGTGACAGGCTTCATTAAACACTGAGTCACAGTTGAAATGAAGAAATCGATGATACTCCCCTGAAACAAATGGTGATGGGCTCTCTTGCCAGGATGCGGTCTCAGAAAAATGGTATGTGGACAGGAAGGAGCTGGACGTGTGCGTGGACACAAGTTCACTGGCTGTGGGAGTATGTCTGTTAACATGAATGGAGCTATCATTAAAGATGCATGCTGGCTGTGACCAATAAAAGACACATATCACTTTGAAATGATAGAGGTCAATGCCATACTGAAAGGAATCAATCTGGATTCAAGTAGCAGGTAAGTGTGATACATATAAACAGAGACTCCCTCTGCATATATCACTGGTTAACCAATGCCCTTACTAGCAAGGCTCCATTGAATACCAAAGCCACCAATGAAATGCTCATAAGAAGGTGGCTGGACACACTGACCTCATTGATAATGGAGTACAATCTTTCAATTACCATAGCACTAGTGAGATTTGAGCAGATTGACTGACCAGAGTTCCATGAAAATGGTTCAACACTGTGAAAAAGGACATTGAGCCTGTAAAGCCCGTGTTTGCTATTGCCAAATTCTACTCAAATGACTGACATTCGTCAATCAGCAGGCACCCCAGAATTAAGCAGACATTGTATTGCGTGTAAAGAATCAAACCTTTCATATCAAAGAAGCCAGCAAGATCTTTGGTCTGGAATTGTGAGGCATATCTGTCTGTAGACTCAGCTCCAGTATACTGGAGAAAAAGAGGACTAACCATGAGGGAGATGTGAAGCAGGCTGGACATGAATATTACTCACTAATCCTAAATCTCCAAAATCAAAACAAATTCTTAAACTCCTTAAAATATTTTTATCATAATAATAAAAAAACAAAAATGGAAGCAACTTTTTAAAATGGTTAAAGGAAATAATTCCAATAGAAATTTGTATTAAGTTTTGACTAAATTTCATCATCTTGCTAGCTTTAATCACACCATTTTCAGTTGATTACTTCTGACTACTAAAGCAAGTAGTATTAATTAGAATAAAGAAATGCATTCTGGGAAGACTGTCTTACATAGATGCAGTCTTTACTAACCATAGAGGTTAAGTCATTCATGTCAGACAGGATGTGAGTTCAAGTCTCAGCAGTGGCTATTTTATTCAGATTCATACTGCTTACTGCTGGGTGGAATGGATTTGATCTTGGAATGTGGCAATAAAAAGCAACAATAAGTGGAAGAAAACTACTCAAAAATTAATGATGAAATGCTTCATTTCAAATTCAAGTAACTTAGGCTAGAAGTTTGTAATTTTTATGTTTGACCTCATTTATCAACAGATAATTCAATTAATAGTTTTGCAGGAAATTAATGAAGCCCTCTAAAAAATGATGGATGTGATTTTTGTTTTTGCATGGGTAAAAAAGTATTTTGGGTTTCAGTTTGTGAAAGTTAACGTTTGGACCCAAAATTTCATGCCCATCTTGTCTTTATACAGTATAATTTTCAAACTATCAAAATGTGTCTTTTTATGGTCATGTGACAGAGCTTTTAGTCTGGTGTCTTGAAGTTGGTTCCTTATTCATTTGATGACTGATACTATCCACTACAATGTGATGGAGTCTATATAGACCGTTACTGTCACTGACTACCTTCAAATATTCAACTGGACTCTTGACTTCATGACTCAAATCTTGGATAATCATCACCAAATAATGGAGATGTAATTCTGCACATTCTGTGTCCAAGTAATGGAGAATCTGGCTCCAAACGGAATCTTCGACAGCAGTCTTTAGAAAGAAACCAAAATAAAAAGCAACAAATTAAATATGCACCGTTTATACCATTTAGTTTTGGATTATAAACAACATGAATATTACAATAACATTCAGAAAAGTCATTATTTGTTTAGGCAACTGAGCTAACATGTGTCGGTTGATCTAGTCCATTTTCTTATAAATTATACACTTGATTAAGGCTGAAGAATGAATCTGCTGAAGTGTTGTATTAACATCAAAGAATATGAAAAAAATGTTCAATAATAAAAAGGTGCCATGTGTTTTAGACATGACCTTTGAAAATCATTTTGAATAAAAAGAAATACATACATCTAGCCAAAAATATAAGTAATGAAAAAGAGGGGTGAGAGGACAAAAGTAAACTAGATAAGTGCTATAAAAATTTGCTTTAAACCACAGGGTGTCTCAAAAAAAATGTATACACAATTTTACAGTGTATAGCTCAAGTCAACTTACTTTCTTTTCAGATTTGTACATGTGTATTACTAATGTCATCCAGTCTTAGCTCTGAACAAAAAAAGCTCATCCTGAAAATCTACTGAAAGTATGAAAATGAAGTTGAAGTATCAAAGAGGGTTTCATTCAGATCCACTCATGTGGCTTATCTCTAATTTGTGAGATTATAAGTTTGAAGCTGATGATAATGTATATGATGTACGCAAGAACTTATACGGAAAACCACAGATATTAACCACACCCTGTGAAATGAGAAAGGGTGATGGAAAGTTTTAACACAAGTCCAAGAAATCTATCAAAAGTTTGATTTCTTCTTGTGATTCCATTGCATCATGTTGTCAGCAATGTCTGGATCATGACGGACATCGATTTGAAAACATGCAATGACAAAATCTTAAGAGCATGCATTTATAGTAAAAATTCTCTTCATATACAATATCTAAATTAGGTGTAAGTTGGTTCTAGTTGCTTGAATTATTTCTTGAGAAAGTTTCAAAATGTGTATACATTTTTTTTTAGATACCTTGTATATTAATAGCATTGACACATTAATAAAAGTATCAGTAACAGCTGATTAAAGTCTTGCCAAAATATTTTTCCCCAGAGTTGCAGACAAAACATCTCATGAAAAGCTTATTTGCCCAAAGTCTATTCAGGTAATGAAGTAGATTGTGATTCAAGACCATTTGTGGAAGGTAATAAAAATAATAATTAGATATTTCTATGAAGTCAGACAAAAAAAATATCCCATTCTCAAGTCGTTAGTGATGAATTTCAAAACTGTTTTTAAAATGGCAAATAAGCACAAATAGATTTTCTTCTGTGAATTGTTGTCAAAAGATTTTATTTGGAAACATTCTCCCCCCAACCACTTCTTCTTCTTCTTCTTATGAGGTTTCTATTCTGGATAAAAAATGAAAAATTCATCAAACTCAGATTTCCTTTTAATGATATAAAATATTGAATGCAACTTTTGATAAGAAAAAAAGAAAACAATAGAGAAATTGTTTCCCGCAATTACCTCCGGGATTAGCCAAAGAAAGTTGGCAACAGCTGCCTGCAGTGAACTGTACAAAATAACCAAAGCTTCTTCACATTCAGAAACGTCTTTATCCCATCTATACTTTTTAAAAGTAGCCAGGTCTTCAATCACCGATACTGAATGTCTTCGGTTTGGGACCTTATTAGGGGTCAGTATCTTTACAGCATGAAATATATAAGGAAATAAAGCTTCCAGAATCTTCAGCAGACATTTAGGTAGCATATCACCTTGATTAAAAGAAGAAAAAAAAGAAATTAAAAAGTATTAAAAGAATGGGTTATATATCACTCACAACAGAAACTAAATATAATTTTCCACTTACATGAAGATTTATCTGAATGATTTCAACATTTGTTCTTTATGAGGGGGTGCTGAAAAATTCTTGAACTGACTATGAAGCAGTGATGCTAGAGTTGTGAAATCTTGCATGCATTAATTTCAACTCTTCTTATTAATAACTGCATTGTTTCTTTCCAAGTAAACTGACATCTGATCGTTCAAAGACTTTAAAAGTAAATAGTAGCAACTTCTCTTGAAAATGGACAAAATTTGGCATCATAGTTTATCAATCACCTGCAGAAAAAGGGTTTAACAACCCCAAGAACATTCATGCTGACATGGTTGTTACATTAGATGATGCTCTAGGTTTATCAGCAGTGCAAAAATGGACAGCTGAATTTAAGAGAGGAAGGTCTTGAAATTGACCCAAGATATAAATGTCCTGCAACTCTCACTACTGAGGAAAACATTGATCATGTCCACCACATGGTGATGGATGACAGGCAGTTAATTATAAATCAAATAGCCAATGCTATTAACATATCCCATGAGAGAGTTGAGAATATTCTGTACAATAAACTTGGTGTGATGAACATTTCTGCTTGGTTGGTGCCATGTCTTCTGACACTTGATCAAAAGGGGCACCAGACTAATCACATCACTGGCAAAATCTTACATTGTTTGAGGCAAAATCGATTGGTTTACTTGAACATTTCCTATTCCACGATGAGTGTTGGATTCATCATTTTGAGCCAGAGACAAAGGGACAATCCATGCAGTGGAAACACCTCATTTCACCTGCTCCAAAGAAGGTCAAGGTTATTTCATCTGCAGAGAAGGGGCTGGCATCAGTTGTTTGGGATGCAAAAGACATTGTTTTTAATAACTATCTTCAAAAGGGCCACACCAATAATGTAGGAGATTGCCTGAAAAAACTAAGTGGGAAGATTGTCTGAAAACTACACTTAACTGATGGCAATCCTGAATTAATTTGAATATTATCTAAGCAATTTTTCTAGAATTCAGAAAACTGACATGATTATAATTCAATGAGTTATTCACCATTCTTTTGAACAAAAAGACCTGTTCTAACAGTTATAATTACACTATGGATCTATTTCATTTGCAAATACATTCATATGAAATATTTTCATGAAAATAAATTAAAAAATTAAAATAGATTTCTACAAAAAGTAACAACTAAATTTCTAAGTGTTCATAAAAACAACAGTGATTTAATATACAAGCTGCGGTAGAAATACCTCCCACGTAATGGTAAGACATTAGCTAGATGAAGACACCATTGTCACTAATGTCTTACCATTGTGTGGGGGGTATTTCTTGGAGGTATTTCTGTAAAATCCTGGACTTAACAGGAATGTAATGTAGGAAGTTAATAGTTTCATTTTTATGTCTTTCTCGCAAACAACAAAATGACCCAAATTAACTGACCTACCTTTATAAAAAGCATTGATGTCAAATTTAGAGTTTTGTAAAAATATCAAACTGATGAGAGAGAGGACAGCAGCTAAGTATTTGGCCTTGATATCAACAGCAACGATTGGTTCATCACACAAGTAGATTAGATATTTCATCAACAGTTTTTGAAGTTGAACTGACATGGAATCTGAAAAGAGACAAGTTAAAATTACAATATTTAACTATTTTCACTATTCACATTTTTCTGACTGATTTTTCTCATCTTTATTGTTATATTCACAACATTTCAGCCATTGTATACCCTGACCCTCTTCAGGTGATATTTGTTATTTCAAACCAAACTCTTTATTTAGTCTACAGGGATAGATTGTTCTAATTCCAGGTGTCATGCATTTGGATATATTAGTTTTAGTTAATTCCCCTTGATAACTCAGCTAAAGTTTTTTTGTATTTCTGCCTTGACCAGGAATTGAACTCACAACTTTTTGGGTTAATTCACTTCTGGATCAATCCAGATATCCAAAGGCATGGCACATTGAATTAGAACAATCTACCCCGGTGGACAGTTTGAAATCCCAAACATCACCTGAAGATGGCCAGAGTGTACAACTGAAACATCATGAATATGGCAATAAAGATGAGGACAAGAGTCCAAACAATGTAAATAATTATAATACCTCATATCAGAAAAATAAACAGAATATTTAACCAATTATCACTTTTATTTAAACTATAAAATGTAAGTTACTGAAGAAATAGTTAAAAAATATTTTTGGCAAATATAAAAAGCAATTCCTAATTTCATTATAAAATATAAATTTGTTTGGTCATTATTATTATTATTTTATTTTATTTTTTTTTTTACTTGTGTTTCTTTTATATTATTTGTTGCAACTCCCAGATCATTATTCTACAACCATGAAATAAAAAATGGGGGTCAGAAATAACACCAAGCAAGATTCAAAAGTAATAAAATAATTTAAAGAGTTGTAATAAAAAAAGCAACAGAAATAAAGTGAGAGCCAGACTCGCCAAAAATGAATAATAATGACAATATTTGTATATAATTGGTAATTTTCTATTATTTATATTCAAACTATTATCTTCATTTTTGTCATTATCATCACAACAGAATGGCCATTGTACCCTCCCAGCTTCCTTCAAATGTCTATCAAGTCATGTAACTTACAGGGAATTTAAAACTGAACTCTTTATTTAATCTATGATTGTATCTTGTTCTTATTTCACTGTCCATGTTTAGGGATTTTTTTAGTACTACTCATTTATTGTTTGTTCTGTTTCTACTGAGTCTACTACGCGGCCCAGGGATTGATTTACTATGCTATCAAATTTACAAATCAATGCTTTAATCCACAAATTAAATAATTTTCTAAACAACATAATGGATGCTCACAACTCAAAACTGCATTACTTTATACCATAATAAAAAAAGCTAATTTTCCTTGTTTAAGTTGCTTAGATATCATAAATTCTTATTCAAAGTAAAATCACTATAAAATTGTGACAAAATAAATGTTACTAACATGTCACACTAATAGCTTTAAGTAGTAAATTATAAATACCAGTATATTTAAAAAACAATAGAACATATTCCACTAAAATATAAGATATACCAAAACAAACATGTAAACAATAACTTTTTATTAAAATAAGTGTTAAATTTGCAATTTCATAAAATATCAAAATTTGTTGCCACAATTGTCAAAATTATTTTTAGAAGCCAGATTATTTTATATATATATATATATATATATATATATATATATTAATAAACTGTATTTAAAAAAATCATTGATTACTTTATTTTTATTTTTTTTTAAAAAAATGACTTTTGAATCTGTCAAACTTACCTAAAGCTTCAGCACCTTTTTCAGTGCAAGACATTAATTGGAAATTATGTATGTAAATTTCCAGTGCAGGGCAAGGTTCATATCTTGAGGAGGAAAAAAAAATTAAGAATTTTACATTCCATTTTGAGAGAACTCGTATTTTGTTTATATTTTCATAATACAAGTATACAAAATTACAAATAATTTCCTATGAAAAGGTTTATTAATATTGGGATTTCTTAAGTGAAGCTTTGTCACTAAAATTTTTTCAACTAGCATTTCTTTCATCTTAATTTTAGTTGCTTTTTATTGTAACTTCAATCAATCATTTAACATTTATCAGTAATCAATGCAGATTTTAATAAATAAGCTTTTACTAAGATTCATACTTTCAGCTATTTTTTCTCAGGAAACCTATATTAACATGACAGCTGCCTTATTAATTAAACTATGTCAACCTTACAGCATTTACATCTAATCATTCCTTATTTCACCAGCTAATATATTCAATATATCACCATTTTTATTATTTAGAAAATCATTATTAGAATTTTTTTTTAAATTCTTTGATGCAGTAGTCTGATATTAAGTGTACCCAAATAAAAAAAAATATTAATGTATTTGAATGTTGGAATAAATAAGGAATGGTTATATAATTAGATTTGCATGATTGCAGCTGAACAGTCACCTTAGCCAAATCAATAAAGCAGCTTTCACATAAATACAGGCTTCATTAGGGAAAAAAAAAAAAAAAAGAGAGAAAAATGAGCCTCACTGGATCCTTTTTATTTCTAATCCATTGTTTACTCTTAGGTGTCAAATAAAAGGCCTGGGGAGAGTTGTTTTTCTTTTTTTTCTGATTGCCCTGAGCTTAAGACCACTCAGTTTATTTCATATAGAGTAAAATTCTGACCCCCACCACTCCTTGTATTAGACACCTAAAAGTATTAACAATGGCAGAATGATGCAATGGAAGTTTGCTATAAAAAGCAACTGAAATTAAGATGAAATAAATATTTGTTGAAAAATTAATAATTAGAAGAATGTTTATTTTTCCTTGAATACTTCATATAGCATTTGTGTGAGAGAGACAGAGATAAAAAAAATATATAGTTTATGCATCTATATAAAAAAAAATATTTGACTGCTTTGCATATAACAGTATTTTTTTATCTCAATTTTTTAATGAGATTCATTGACTTGACACTAGATATTTAATCTTGAAATGTAAACTTATGGTGTCTAATCCAATTCCCTTACCACACTGCTATATTCACAGTACTTACCCAATTTCTTTGATAGCCTCAAACATGGAAGTAAGTAAAGAAGCTTCACTCCAACGTCTACACAGAACATCATCAAGATCCATCAAAATGTTTACCAATTCTCCAGTATTTTTTAGCAATTCAACTAAAGTAAAAAAAAAAAAACTTATTAAAAAAAAATTAACCCCCAAATTGTGCAGATTTTTTAAAAATGCAATATAAACAATAAGTCAAAAAAAAAATATTCACTTGTTAAGTTGAAATGAAAACTTATTTTTTTCAAGCTTGAGACAAACTTACAGTGGCTTAGGCTTACAAATAGATATTAATTATTATCCACAATAGCAGATGTAAAGTGACTAATCATCTATTATTATTAATAGGCATGAAGATTTATGAGAGGAAGACAAAAACTGGTACTTAAATGATGATTATACGTACTATGGAATCCTCCACATTTGCCTGTCACCCCCTACGGGAAGATGCACTCTTCCCCAAATAAACCTTTAACCAATCATCACTTTACTTTTCCAAACTCAATGCCCCATTGATTAAAAGGACACTAAAATGTAGCAAAGTTGAGACAAACCTTTTTTCCCCCGCGCAGGTCTCTGGAGCCTATTTGGAAACTCGAAAATCTATAAAAAGAATCGCTCGACTTAATTCAAGTTAGTCAGACACTGAATTTCGAGAGATACCAGCAGACCCCACACATGCCAACACACTGACTCAATAACCACTACCAACCTCTCAACAACTCAACACAACTTGCACAACTATTGCCGTATGAAGAAACTTAACTTACAATTTACTAAAAAGTAACATTATCACTACAAAACAGTAATTGTACATTCAATCAACTTTAGTCTATCAGTTAAAGGCGAACAACTCTTCATAACTTAAATCAAGACTAGCAGTTGTCACACACATACACACTATCACTTGAACTTACACAATTGACAATTTTCCTTGCAGATATCAAACTATTTTAATTCCACAAACAAACTTAAACTATCAACCTTTACTCACTAAATTTCTGCAGGGACAATCTTTGTAACCTCATCTCACTTGCCACATTTAACAAGCAACTTATTATCACTTTGTGTATGTCAAATATATATATAAATTCATGTTATTGTTGAAATCTCTAATGACGATTTTTCAGTAATTTCTTGAAGTTGAATTGTCTATTCATTTTTGTTTGATTTATTTGTTGTGTATAAATGCATTATGATCATGCACATTCTTGGCCTTCACAAAAAAATCACCTTCTGATACATCTTCTTACTCAGCATAGATTCCACAACAGTACTAAAAGAGGAGACAGCTAAAAGAAATTTAAAAAATTACTGAATTTCATGACTTTTTCTTTCTAACAAAATTATTGTGGGGAGGAATTCCTGTAAGCAGTACATAAAAATCAGATTTTTTTTTTAAAACCAATATTTAATATTTGCAAACATATGAAGGGGGGGGGCTGAAAAACACTTTTTACAATCCACTTCCAAAAATCTGGCCAAATGACCTAACATCAGGGGTTTTTCTTTTGACGGAATTCTTGTTTGGTTGAAGAATTTTTCAGTGTTCTCTTGTTTATGATGAGAATTTCCAGAATATTCTTTTCTAAAGTGAGGTAAAGTCTTTTTTAGCCATAAATCTGATAATTCACTTTAAACAACTGAATAAAATATTTTGGTTTTCTTATCTATCAAGGAAATAATAAAAAAAATTGTATATCTACCATTTGTAGAACTGGTCATAATAAATTTAATTTGTTCTAGAATTTCATTCTCTTGCTGCTTAATGGCACTGATCCAAGCAGACTGGCCAGCCTCATAACCAAGACAAGAATAGAGCAATCTGTAAAAACAAAGAGAGGAAAGTGAAGAGGGAAAGGACAAATAAAAAGAAGGAAAAAAAAGCAGTAAAAGAATAAGAGAGAGAGAGAGAGAGAGCAGAAAAGTAAAAAGATAGAAATGTGCAGGAAATAAGAGAGGGTAAACAAAAAAAAAAGAGCAGAAAAAGAAAAAAGGCAAAAAGCAGAAAAAGAAAATTATGCAGAAAAGTAAAAAGAAAATAGAAAAAAGACAAATACAAAAAGAAAGTCACAAAAGAAAGTATGTTAAAAATTATTACAAAACTATTACAATATAGTATGTTATTGTAATAGCTAACATACTTAAACCAAGGCAAAAATAGTTTTATACCAGTTTTTTTTTTCTATGTTACAGATAACTACTTTTCTTGGTGTAGTTCAATATCAAACACATTAAAACCCTCAACTTAATGAACTAATAGGAGGGAAGTGGGTGTCTGTTAATGTCAAAGGTCTGCTACATCCAAATGTAAGTTAAGAACTCAAGTTTTTGTTACTAGAAAAAAAAAAAAAAAACTTGTCACTGTCAAGGTTGACTAAGGTGGCAACAGCTTTTTGTTGCTAATGCCTGGGCAGTTAAGGTAATTATAGAAAAAGGTGCTCATTCATCCATTCTCTTCTGTCAACCATCATGGTATGCCACCAAAGAGATATTTTATAAAGATATTTAGTGATGGAACAGAGTGTAAGTTGAATTATATTCATTCTTTTCCTAAAGGAATTCATACAACGTAAACACAAACAGCCTCTCAACTGAAATTCTAACTGGATTCATTAATTCAGTTTTTTAGGCTAACCCACACTTTATATCTTCTAAATATTTTGCTTAAATATTTGACAACACATTTACAACTGGGAGGTAAAGCTAAAAATGGATATAGTAAACATTTGGCTGCTATTAATTGAGCAGGTAATTATAGTAAAGTTAATTATGTCACCCACTCTTTTTCTGTCTACCATAATAGTGCACCAGTGACAAGACAATACTCAAAATGATTGACAATAGGACAGTGCAAGCAAAACTGGTTTATCACAGGTGTTAATGCAAATTAATTGGAATTAATATTTAATCAATTTTTATTTTCTGTTTTTTCATTTCCTGCAGAATTCTTGTAGACTAAGTTGCAACTAGTGACACTACTATTTGGTAGTTCTTTTTATAATATTCTGTTTCTAGCCTCATATCCAATCTTATAGTTTTGAATTAAGAGTTACCCTTCTCCTAGATTGGTTACCAACCAAAATTATAGAACCCAGTATGTGCTGAAGAGATAAATTCATGCCTTTTTCTAAGGGTAATGTTGACAAAAACTGTCTCGGTCAGAATTTCAAGTTATTGTTGCAGTTTTTGTGTATGTTGGAATCACATCATGATCATGAAATGTTGTAGGCACAGCTCCTAGTTTGAATAGAAGCAGTCAGAAAATTTTTTGCCCACATGTAAGTGACAGGTGTAAGGAAATAGAATGAATTTCAACAAGGTAATATATTTTGATTTTATATTACTGAGTAACAAGAGAGAAAATACACGAATATGTATGCAAAAAAAAGACAGCATTAGAAATTATGTGGGTGTGCGTGTACTTGTGTTCAGTAAGGGGGGAAAAATAACCCCATGTCTGGGGAGATCCTGGTTGGCATTGTCACTTCAGCATGAGAAGGGAGAGAAAGACAGGAAGTGTCCAGTTTTTATAGCTGCTTGACAATGCCCTCTAATGACTTCCATGTAAAACTAGCAAAACTATGATGGGACAACCCACATCATCCACACCTCTATTATTTAATTAAACAGCAATAACTTTTACACTTGTACTATTCAAATTAATTAAAGTCTTACAAATAAATCTAGACATCATAAATGACTTAGTTTTCTTGGTATGCAGGAAAGAATAGAAACAACTCTCATCAATTCTCTCTGTTACATTCTTTCTAAAACAAGATCTTCTGATTCATGCTATGGTAATTTCTACCACTGGCTGAATGTGAATGCCTCAAAACCCAGGACTGAACTAAGATTCCATCAACTGCACATAGGCTCAACACATAGCTTCCATTTTTACTCACATTCTCAAAGAAAAATACAATCCACCCAATAGCACCCACTCCTGACTAAAGAAACAAAATAAAAATTGGAGTCAATCTGAGCCTAAGAAAAAGACATAAAAGCCCATCAAAGAGACATCTTCAACATTAGGACAGCATAACAGCCCAGATTCACAACACTCATCTGAATACGACCTCCCATCTTCAAAAGACAACTCACCAAAGGCTGTTGCCATAGTAAGTCACAATTCAGCCTCCTCCTCCTACCGTATGCTTCTGCAGATGACTTTTACAATTCCACTTATCTCCTCCTTTCAACAAGAGACATTTACACAGATTCACTGTTTGTTTATTTCTTAAACTTCCATTATTTCTTCTTTGTTCTGCCACCGTACACTTAATATAACATCTCAATGCTAGGCCAAGTCCAGTGTGTCTTTCCTTAGATTGTCTATAGATTTCTGACCTACCTTTTTAACTTTAACATAATTAAAGAGAGCTTTGGCATGTATTAAACAGTCAGAAAGAGAATTCATTTTTGTTGTGGTCATCATTTCACATTTATTTAATACATTTTGTTAGATATATCCTATATCTTTACAAGAGCCAGATCAGAATGTTTCCCTGATAACTACAATCTTAATGTGTTCAAGTCTAGACTTAACCATTATCTTATCCTCTTATCCATATAAACTGCCTCTTCATGTAACCCTATATCTCAAGTAGCCCCCACTTCATGTACACGGTGAACTTCACTGTAAAAAGAAAAGCCACTTTTTCCTGAATTGGTGATTTTAATATCTTCAAGTCAATAGAAAATTATTATATAATGTAAGATTAAAAAGTTTTTTTTTAAAATTATCATTTGAATATTAATAGTTATTAATTTTCATAATAATCTTACCTGAATGTTTGTACCAAACATAATCCATCAGGGTTTTGTAATAACAATAGTACCATGTGACTGCAAAGATACAAAATGAAAGACAAGAATAATAAGAGACCATTTCTGTTATTTAATCAAAACATATAAGAATTTGTCCTTTCATGTTCTTTCACTTGTGAAAATAAGAAGAATGATTCAACTAGGCACACATCCAGACTATTTGGCTGTGTGCACTTAAAATAAAGAAATTACTAAATGTTCTATTCATGTAAATTGAAAATGTCTAACATTTATTTATTAGATGAAGCATTGTTAATTATTATTCGTTTTTATCTAGTATTTCCTTCATTTTATTTCTAACCTTTTTTATCACAATTCTGAGATTGTCATTCTATGGTTGTTAATAAGCAGTGTGGATTGAAAATAATGAATACAACTTCATTGATAGAAATTACAATATTATTAAATGTGTTGCTGATATCAGAAAAAGACTGGTGTGACAAATTGTATTTTCAACAAGTTTAAATGTAAAATAGTAACTCCGATTCATATACTTTTATAGCCATATGCAAGTGTGACTAGATTTTCTAAGCATAAATCAAATGGTAGACTTTCAATAAATGACAACATTATCTGGAAAAAGGGGCAGAGACCCTACTATTATAATCAACAACCAATTAAGTAGGAAAGTAAAATGGAGGGAAAAAAAAATTTATTAAAAAGAAAGAAAAACCATTTTGCACTTAATAAAAACTTCTGCCTTCTATTCTTTCATTTTTATGTGGGATTTTTTTACCTAAATGTTCATATTTCAAATAATTAGCAACATTTTACACTTTTTAAGAAATTGTGACAGATTTTGAAACATAAAATATAAATACCAATAACATATTAACCTACTTAAAATTCTTATAAATTAAAACATTGCCTCTAAAAGCAAAACTTGTACAGAATAATTAACAATGCTAACATCTGAAGTGATTCTGTTTGATCTTTTTTCTAAAAATCATGCTGTATTAGATTTGACAAAATCTGAAATGCCTAATTCTTTTGTTTTATGTATCTTCAAAAATTTAAATGCAACATCAATTACCATTTTCTATCTTCTTGAATCCCGTTCATCATTTGTCCTTTCCTCAATCTTCTCTATACTCAGTCTTTTCTCTCACTTTTACTCCCCGTAACCCCCTGCATACTATTGGAATACCCACCTTGCTTGGAGTAAAATGATTATAAAAAAAAAGTTCAAATTCCTTAGATACTGTTATACTGGAACACACCTATTCTATTGTTAATAGACTCTCCCACCTATAATAAGTAGGAGTAGCAGTAATAGTCGCTCAGTGAGTTGGTCAGTCAGTCGACGTCAGACACTAAGAGTATGAGTGACCACCATTAGATTTCTCTGCGTCATTACCTATTTATATCAAGTTCCTAACGTTTTGTACATCAAACCTTTTTAGGACCAACTTTGTGAAATATAAGCCTCTACTGTGAAACTACTCTACAATAGATACCATTACTTAATATGTTTAAAGTCTAATTGCAATAAAAATATCACCAATGTGTCATGTTCTTTCAGGATGTTGGTGATCATTGCTCTCCACAATTTCTTGTCCTTTTGCTATCTCTTCTAAACCCTGTTCTGCCAACCATTTACACAAGCTCTTTACGTAAGTTATATGCTGTTTTCCTCTTATCCCTTTTGCCTTCAATATATCCTGTGAGTGTCAAATATTCTAAACCTTCTTTCCTCATTGTGCTCTAAAAATTTCAAGTGTCCCTTTCTAATGTTAAGTATAAATGTCCTATTTCCATTTTCTATAAAACTTTGCTGTTGCTCACATGTTTGATTCATATCATCCTTAGCATCCTTCTGTAGAACTACTTTTCTCTTGCCTCAAGTCTCTTCTTCATCAGTGAAAGAGATTGTCCAACATTCACAAACACGTGGGAGGACCAAAAGAAACTAAATCTTTTCACTATTTATAGATTTAAATTCAGACAGAAAGTAAATCTTTTCAATAATCTGAGCAATTATTTTGTCAAATACTAGCAGTAGAGCCCGGCGTTGCCCGGGCATGTAACAGTAAGAGATAGATCAAGTATCGACCATCATAAAGACTGAAAAATAAAATTGACAAAGATTATTGTTTAAGGTTGATGGACACGCATGTCTTAATTAGTTTTTTTTTTGTTTAGTTTTTTTTTTACGAATTGGTCAAACCCAAACTCAAACAAAAACATTGTTTACAATCGTTATGAGTCTATCGATTGATGAATAGAATTTTATTATAAACAATTGTCTTGTAAATGGAATTTTTAAAGCATTCTGAATGTAAAAATAAAGAAAAAAAATGTGCAAGACAATAAGAAACACTACCTGCCAAAAAAAAAGTGAAGTTTTGTTGAAATCGGTTGAAAAATGTAGGTAGCCTTTCTCTGTAATCTTTTACAATTTATGATTTTTACTTATTGAATACAGTAAAAAAAAAAAAAAAAAAAAAAAAATGCATATTTTGCTTGTGGTGATTCATAATTAGAATTCTGATTTGAATATATTTTCCACTCGTTGTTTCTAATACAAAAAATATTAACTTTATTTGGGTTTATTAATTTGTTACAAGTACTGTGTTCTTTCCTTAATAATTATCATCTTGAAATATTGTTGTTTTTTGTCTATCAGATTTCTTACATCGGCATTTTTAAATTATTTCTTAATACTTTCTTTTAAATATTGAATTAATTTCAAATAGAACCAATGCCTTATTGATCTGCCTTGTAACGAATTGCAAAGGGAATTGTAAAACGGCCCTAAAGTATGTGGAATTATCTTTCCCTAAAGATAAAGAATTATCTGATTTTTCGATTCGTACAATCAGTAGAGATCGTTAGATTATTGTTTAGGTTGACGGACACGCATGTCTTTTTTTTTTTTTTTTTACGAATTGGTCAAACCCAAACTCAAACAAAAACATTGTTTTCAATCGTTATGATGAGTCCCCTGATTGAATAGAATTAGAATTTTATTATAAACAATTGTCTTGTAAATGGATTTTTAAAGCATTCTGAATGTATAAATAAAAAAAAAAGTGTGCAAGACAATAAGAAATACTACCTGCCAAAAAAAAAAAAAAAAAAAAAAAAAAACAAGTGGATGTTTGTTTTATCGGCTGAAAAATGTAAGAAACCGATCCCATATATATATAGGACACACACACACACACACACACACAAACAACCTGGGTTTTTAACCTAAGTCACTCCACGGAATCGCTAAAACATAGAGCATAGTCTGATGAAAAAAACGCTTAAAGTTTATGAAAACAAAATTTTATCATCAAAATGCTTATGTTTTTTATGAAGAGGATAGACTAAATTTTTTTTAATTATTTTTAGAAATTTTTCCATCTTTTTAGAATATTCTAAATTTTGATTTAAAAACCTTGTTTCTCTTTGTCACAACAAGGGGTAGTAAATAACATAGATAATTTTAGCGCATTTTTTATATTTACACACATTAATTTGGAAAATCTTGCAAAAATAAAAATAATTGTCAGATGTTAATGAAACTTTCAGAAACTATTCACAGATGATCGAAATTATTATAAATGTTTTTTTTTTTATTAAAGTCATGGCAGAAATATTTTTTTTTTTATATTTATTAACACCCCATAACTAATTTTATGAAAAACTCTAGAAATTCGAGACCATCGGTTTTAGTGATTACAATAGTTAAAAGCACAAGGCTTTGAAGAATGCAAATCATTTTTTTTTTTTTTTTCCAACGTACCTGAAAATCAGCTGTGAATTGTAACATACAAAACTCAATAAAACAAATATATTATTTAGTTTCAAATGCTTTTATTTGTTTTTATGAATATGGACAATATTTTCTGAAAGCAAAAATTTTTTTAATGAAAATTGAATTTTTTAATACAATTATTTCTTTAATTTTAAAAAAGATTTTTAAAAATGTTTAAATTGATTTTTTAAAAATATTTTAACATTAGTTAAAAGCAACATCAACCTTTCAAAATGTCCATGTGAGATTGTCATTGTCTAGCGCTTTGAAAATTGTATAATTTGGACCAATCAGATTAGCCATGGTAATTAAGAAATGTAATTTTTGTGTTTATAGTCGGACAGTAATTATCAAGTACGGAAGACCAACCAGAATACAATTTAGTTGCATTATTTGAGTTCAGCATTGTTCTCCGCTGTTAAGCCCTTTACTTTTTTTAAACACGTATGGAGAAGTTAATTTGAGTTTTCAATTTCAACTGAGAAGGGTACCTACAAGTAACAGTATCATCTTATGAAATTTAACTACTGCTAAACTTTAATTTATATGATCTTATTTTTATATTAATCTCAGTTATGACATTTTTCCATAAATGAAATATCAAAATTAATAATAAAATGAATGGAAATACAAATAACACAGTAAAATGTAATAAATGTACATAAAATTATAGTATTTTATGTACACTTCTGATAAAATTTCATAAGAAAGGTACCTAAATTAATTAGATAACTTTTTCTTATGAAATTTAATCTCACTATTGACAGTCTTATTTTTTAATTTCTTTATATTTTCCATAAAGCATCGTAAACGTAAAAATGAAAGCTAAGTACAAAAAAAAATAAAAAATAAAAAAAATAAAAAATTAGAGTGCTGAAAGTTTTCCTTAAAAGTAACAAGGTAAATAATTTGTTCACTTAAATTTTCACTTCCTTCCATCCGTAGAAAGAATTCTCCTCCCGTAACTTATCTAAACGTCACGAATGTGCCTTTCGTCAATCGTCAAGTTTATGCAAAAGGTTTGTTTTATTTTCAAATTACATTTTTCGGTGCAGAAGCTAAGTTAAGCTTGGTTCAAAATATTTTAAATAAACAGTATAATTTCTGTTTTTATTAAAATCAGTTTTGAAAAAATGATAATTGATTTTTAAAAGAATATCAAAGTAAGATTTTAATCTTTTTTTTTATCAAATCGAAAAAATGATTGAAAATGATTATCTGTCCTTATTTTGACCAAAAAAAAAAACAATATTTTTAACGAAAATTTCTGACGTGCTAGGAACGATTAAAAATGTAAAAAAATACCCCCAAAATACTTTGATCTTTCCTCTTTAATAATAATATGAACATTAGACGATAAAATTTTGTTTTCGTCAAGTTCGGCATCTTTTTCATCATGCTATGCTCCTTTGTTTACATTTTCGTGGGTGAGTTGTCCCCCTTTCATTCTCACGATGTGTCTTAACCCTGTTTCCAAATTGATTTTATTAAAAAAACAACTGTGTTTTTCCCATTTTCGGCCCCATTAGAACCACCAAAAGGTAATTTCATGTAGTCCTGTGAAGTTTTGTTGAAATCGGCTAAAAAATGTAGGAAATTTGATCCAACATATAAACTTTACAGACACACACACACACACACACACAATCTGCATTTTATAATAAGTAAGATTCAACAAAAATAAAACTTACATAAAATTTTGGTCAGCAGACATCTCCCTGCATACAGTTTCATTGCAGGCAAGATTTCCCAAAATACCAACACATATTTCCTGGAATTAAAATAAATATATACATATATTATTCAGTAAAACACACCTATCAAGAATAAAATTTTATTTTCAATGAATGTTCTGAGAAAAGCATATTAAACTTACCCTTGTACCACTTTTGACAGCAACAAATCATACCCCACTTCCATGTTCTTTAGCTTACTACACTGGTACTAACCAACCAATTGCTGCTGCTGCTACCTCTCTTGTTTAAAAACTACTATTTGGTACACTGGTAAGAGCACAGTGTAGCTTTCATAAGAATTTTAGGCAGTCAGAAGTAAGATATTTTTGCCATAGACACATCAACTGAATTCATTCCATATTTAAAAGCAATCATTATCCTTCATGTAACTGGGTGAGGTCCTCAATTGTGCATGAAAATAACCTTTAGGAGGCTTGTAGCATTAAAACAAATTAATTAAATCAAATGTTAAAAATCAAGAAGTGTTAAAGCAGAGAGTGATCAGAGAAAGAATCAATTAAAAATCTTGATTAGAACCCATAAGTGTATTTGCATGATTCAGAACTGAGAACGTCTTCACAACAGGGCACAGCACACTGAGAGTTATGTAACAGATGTTCAGCTATTGCAGACCTGGATGCATTGACATAAGTATGAAAATTATTGAATTATCCTTTATGAATAATAGCTAGTATATATTGACTTATCCTCATTTCTAACTTTTCACTAGTTCTACATCTATAGTCAGCATCACAGTGACAATTAAGATGGTAAATATAATAAGATGGGAAGGCAGAACATCCTTATGGATGGCACAGTTTCATAAAGCCAAATTTATGGGTTCTAGTAAATGTCCTATATATTTGCAGTTGCCATGGATTGATGATGTTAGCATGAAGTTTGTTAAACAAATCTGTGCCAGTGTAAAAAAAAATTGTTATCTAGCTACTAATCCATGTATTGCCTTTACCCAACCAATGTTAAGACCCATCTATAGAAATGTTCTGCCTTATCATATTAGTTCAATTATTTATCATTTTAAATAATGAGTGTGATGCTGACTCTGTAAGAAGAACTAATCAGCAGCTGGAAATGAAAGTCAGTCAACACAGCAATAGCTGAACATCTGTTGCATAACCAAACAGTGCACTGTGTCTTACTATAAATTAATAGAGGAAATAGAGCAAGCAATGATTGAATGCTGGATCAAGTAAAAATTAAATAAAATTTAACTGAACTAAAATTCACCCAATCATCTCTCTGGCACACCAAGTCTGAAGTTGACATGATTAATAGTTTCTTAGATAAAATGTAAGTCAATCAACCTAAATGAAGTTGCATTTATTTCATAGTATTCAATTAATTCTACATTGATTTATAGGAAAAGTCAAATTCTAATCTTGGATGACTTGTCAGCATTAGGGACATCTGGTTTTCAGACAAAGAAAGAATTTTGACAACTTGAGATTAATTTGAATAATTAAGTCATATATCAAAGTCAGGGTAAAGACAAATTGTCTATTTAAGGAACATACATCAACATCATATATAAGACCTGATAGATATTTTGGGGAAAAAAGAGTGGGTCTTATATGCCACCAAATAAAGATCAGTACATTAGAGGCTCCAGAAATATTACATGGAACTAAAAGTACGTTAAATAAAAAAAAAATTAAACATTAAAAAATTATATAACTTCAATATATTTATAAAGTAGCTTTTATAAATCAAGTTAAAATTTAACCGAGGACTGAAATTTTGCAGTTTCAAACAAAGAATTAGGTTTCAAGACTTAAAATTCCTGAGATACTCCCTCAGATAATTTTGCTATTTACATAATAATGTTAACAAATATCACCTACCCAACACCAAAGACCAAACCTTGAACTTTATGATCTTCAGTCAAACATTCTGACCAGAGATAGAGAGAGTGAGAGAAAGAAGAACCCCACTGATAAAATTCTACTTACTGTGACACGAGGGGCTCTGGAATTGGCTATTACAGCTGAAAGCAACTCAACTGACTTGAATTCTCTCATGAAAACTACAACATCCTGAAAATATGACAGAAACAAAATAAATTGTAATAGTTATCTTATAAAAAAGCCAATGTCAATCATGTTTGTTTTGTTATGCTAAAGCAAGCAGATATATAAAATTAACTAATACTTTGCAGTGATTTGAACATTTAATTAGGAGATAAGCAGGCAAGCAACATTTCCATTACATTAACAATCTGCTACTTAAGAAAAAAATAGATAAATAAATTGATTTTTTTTATTAAGTCACACAAAAGCACTTTTCTGCTAACATTATTGTTGAACTATCATCAACGGCTGCCAAAGATTTTATTCTCACCTCACTAATGAACAGTTCTCCTCACCATGGCTACGTCAATAAAACTAAAACAGATTTTTTTTCAATTGATAGTTTATTTTATTTGGAATATTATCATAAGAGGTTTATTTTTTTTTTATCTTTTTAATTCTCTGAGATAATCACATTTCATTTTTTTCTAAAACTGCTTGTGTTAAATTCATTTAAAATAGCAAATACTAAATTTAACATATTCTTGGAATTTTTAAAAAACATTTTAACAAGACAACCATCAACTTTATGTTTAAAATCTCTCTGCTTTAAAATTTTAAAAAACAATCTGCCAATATAATGAACACTTGTTGAACAGAATGACTGCTGCTTCATTTCTTTGCATATTGTACTCAGAAGAATGAAGGATAAAAGAAAAAACTTGAGAATGAAAATTGAAGAAAATAAAAAAAGATAATACATACGCAAACATTTGAATATTGGGACTATTTGTTTTTGTTTCTTTGCATATTGCACTCAGCAGAACAAAATGAAAATTTTAAAAAATAGACTCATGCAAACAAAATATGGTAAAGAACTACAGTAAATATATGCAAATGTGATTGAATTATTATTCTAAATTTTTTTTAACGTTTGTTATGTTAAAACTCCCCAGATCTAGTTCCCCTTTAGCACTTATGGGATATGTTGAACCAACAAATTCACACTAGAGAACCTACACCATATAACTTGCAGCAGTTAAAGTTGTTAATATTCTAACTGCAAATTTTAGAGGAAACCTTCAGAGGTCTTGTAAAGTTAATGACTAATTGTTCTGTTCTGCAGATACAAAGACGATCACTACTTTATTGAGGAGGTGGTGATGGTGTTTTGGCTCATCAGTAGATAATGGGTCATGTGTCTGGATTCAATTCTTCAACCAAATGATAATGTGTAACGCTTTATACTGAATTAACTTATTCTGGAAATCAAACCCAAATCTTTCTCCCATGAAATTTAGTAAACTTTCTTCTTAATGTGCCACAGAGTGTTTGTTACCAAATAAACTTTATTAACATATATACAGGTAACAATTAGTTTAGTAACATGTATACACTCACCTTAAAAAAGGATTATTTCTTTGATGAAATTTTATATAGAATATCTATAAAATTAAACCAGATTTCATACTATTTTAAATTATGTTTCAGGAATAATTTAAATACAGTAACATCTCTCCTTAAATATTTTGTCAAACTTAGTTCAAGGACACAGCTCAAAATAAACTATAATAATAATAAGGTGAAATAAATTGCTTATAATTTTTCTCTTAGAAGTGAGGTAGTTACAGTAGGCTAAAAATGTAATTTGACATCAGAAACTAGAGTGAAGATCATGCAATTTGTTGCATGATGCAACAGATTCTAAAATTTGATGTTTGAAAAGTCCTGCTTTCAGTGTCTTACAAATATAGGACACAACCGACATTTGGATAGGCTCAGATGTGAACAACCAAAAATAAATCACCATACAAACAGGTACATTCCTTGACTTTCAATGAACAATAAAATAATGACTGCTATCAATAGAAGAAATGATATGTTTTGAAAATAGGTGTGCCTACCACCAAAAATAAAAAAGTCTAATGTAATTAATAATAATAAAGCCATGTAAAAAAAAAGTAACATCTTTTTATTTATTAACTTTTATTGAACAAAAATAAATTACAGTAGTTTAAGATGGCTTAAGATTATTGCTTACGTGTTCGAGAATGGCTAAATCTTAATTTTGAGCTGAGGTGGATTGGATGACGTGAAGCAATTGAGTGGCCACCACAACCACCAGACCTAACACCACCAGAATTTTCTTGTGGGGTTTACTGAAAGATCTTGTTTACAGATTCAAACTGAAAATAATTCTTGAATTAAAACAAGCAATTTCTGATACATCTTCTGAAATTAATGTAGTCAAATAGTTTGTAGAAGTGTTGTTGATAGGGTTCATCATTATTTCCTCTTCCTTCATAGATCCACTGTCATTAAAGATAGCCAACTTAGTGTACTCTACACTGTCCAGAGATAAAATTCCACATACACAGCACGGAAATAGTAACACTCCATTTTATTTGGTAACATTTATTGAATGAAAATAAATTACAGTAGCTTAAGATTATGGCTTATGCATTCAGGAATGGCTAAATCTTAATTTTGAGCTGAGGTGGATTAGACAACATGGGCAATTGAGTGGCCATCATGATCACTAACACCACCAGACTTTTCCTTGTGGGGGTCTACTGAAAAATCATGTTTACAGGCTCAAAAGCAAAAACAATTTCTGAATTAAAACAAGCAATTTCTGATAAATTTTCTGAAATTAATGCAGAAACGTGTCAAATAGTTTGTGTTGCTGATAGTGCTCAGCATTGTATTGAACATGTTAAATAGTTTGTTAATCATAACAAATCACATTGTTTTGATGTGACAATACTTAAATTTTCTTAAATTACTGTAATTTATTTTTCAACAAAAGTTAAAAAAGCATGTTGGTTTCCATCACAATGGGAATAATTGTAAAATACTTTCTCCTCCTTAATTTATAGCAGAAGCACACAAATGTATGCTGGGATTTCTTTCTAGCCAATAAAATAGACCAGTTCTCAATTTCATATGACTCAGTCCCAGTCTGTCTTGTCTTGAAATTAGAATGCTATGTTCGCTTGTCTAAACTTGCTCTTAGTTTATGAATTTTTTGTCATATTACTGTTGCATTGTGTTATTACAGTTAATTTGCCTTACACATATTGTTTGCTTGCTTTATATTATTTTTTGCGCTGTTCTTTTTTTTTCCTGTTATTACTTATTGCAAACTTTGTCAATTCTGTTTGTTAGAAAGTTCTGCCATTTATTTATATGACCATTCACTCTACAAAGGGCATTACTTTTACCACACACTATATTTTCTTCAAGAATATATGAACATTAGCAGCATGGCCTGGCGTTGCCTGTACTTGATTCAAAAATCGTACGACTCATACAGCAATTACTATCACTTCACTTAAAATATTTTTGCCCTTTCTTGCCTTTAAAGGAGTGCCCTTTGCTGTGCTGATGTTGCTACATGACTTACTTCTTGCCTATCTCACACTGCAAATTTTTTCTAAGCTCTATACTAAACATTAAATCTGTTACGAAAAAAGAACTAAACAAAATGAACACAAAACAATCGGCTTTAAAAAAGGACTCGTAACTGGAAAAACTGAATGAAAAAAAATGTTAACAAATACTTTTTCACACCCAACCCAGTTCTGTGGAATCAGAATCAACGTTGCAAATGAGCCAATTGGAGTAAAGTGCCATGCAGATTTAAATTTTTCCCACTTGTGACAAATGCAGCTATCGATTTTTTTTGCATGCTAGCATGCTAGTTAACATTTGTGTCAGTCAGCTGTTGGCTCTCACGCTGACCAATAGAATCTTCCTGCCTATTCGTGGCAGCCAGCTATATGCTCTCACTCTGGCCAGTACAAAATGGCCGCAAACTACATGAAAACTGCTATGGAAGCATGAAAAAAATCAATTATTTCCACTATCAATGGGAGTTGGGAAATGCAAAGTTGGTCTTGGCCTTCCCGCTAACTTGGAGCATGTGCATGTAAATTTTGGTGCAAATCCACTGAAAATTGTGGCCGTGCATTCGTTACACACACATCCTGTCTTTTATAGATAGAGATTTGTCTAATCTGCCAAAGTGCATAAAAACTGGAATTGGAATGTTTGTCTAAAGTGATATAAAATAAGGATGTGGTGGAGTTGAAATAGTAGCAATTCATTGCTATCAAATTAAGAGAATTATAAATAGTAAATTTTATATAGAAATAATGGACAAGTTTATGCTATCATATACTCCAAATCCTATAACAACCCAAACACACCACTAAATGAGCCGGAGCTTTCAAGGAAGGCAACATTGAGACAGTGCAATCGCCAGACTTCAACCGTATCAAGATTTTATGGTAGAGTCAAAAATAGTATCTAGCAAAACAATCCTACAAATGTAACTGATCTATATAATATGTTTAAAAGCATTTATATCTTCAGGACGTATATGATCATGGTTCACCAGAGATTCCTTTGATTTATTATTTGTGAATTGCCATAACTACTTGAGAAAGATAATGGAATGGTTTCCCATTGCCTTCTCCATGGTTTTAAATTTGGAATTATTGTTCTCTTAGACTGGATATCATGCAAGGCTGGAGAGCCCATTTTATACTGCTATTTAACCCATGGATAGGGGAAGAAGAGATGGATTCAAGCCTTTTCTAAGAAAAATTAGAGTGAAAGTAAATGCAATAGAGCAGGCCAGAATTTGAAGATGGCTTGCCTATTCTACTTTCTGCACCAATAACTGTGACACTATCCATACAATCTTAAAAGCAGTCGGAAATTGAATTGCATTAATACCCCATAAATGTGATACAATATTAAAAGTTTTGTTATCAGTGTTTGGTCTTTCACATACTCCTTTTACTTGTTATTTCATAAAAGTAGCAGATAACTCGAAACGTCTAAAAACTATTTAATAACAGTATTATATGACCATTCTTAAATTTATCTTAAAGTATATATAAATTAATAGAGCAAATATGCACTTTAATCTGGATTTATAAACAAGACAAAATAATTAACTTTTTTAAAACAATATACTTGTAACCCCAAACTAAATGACAATATTTCAGCTCATTTTT